GAGTCCATGGGAAAATTTAGAAAGCCGCACACATGCCTGGGCAAGACATTCTCAGAAAAGACCCGAGAAGATGTTACACTTTCCCCTCTGGCTGATTTCTGTGCTCAGCAAACCTAGGGAAGTGGTGAAGTGCCCAGAATAGAGCCAGTGTGCAAAGGCTGGGAAAGACCATCCTTCTCTTTCTTGTGTTGTTCCATTTGGGTTGTTTTTTTTTTGTTACAGCTCCTAACATTCAAGAGAATCAGTGTCAAAATATTAGCTGAATATAAACTAAAGAGAGACTTCAGGGATCATACACTACAGGGAGTTGACTTTGAAAAAATAATTTGGAAAAGTCTCAAAAGGATAACTATAGGCTTAAACACTTTTTTAAAAAGGAGCAAGCCCTGGGGAAGGGAGAATTTGATTTTCAAAGTTTTACCACATAATAGTCAAATGCCCAATTTTATAAAAAATCACAAAGCATATAAAGAAACAGGAAAACATGGCTCATTGAAAGGAATAGAATACATTGACAGAAGCAGTCCCTGAGGAAGTTCATACCGACTTACTGAACATCACTTAAAAATAATTGTCTTAAATGACTGAAGAGCTAAGAGAAAACCTGGAAGAAATAACTAAAAACCACCAAGAAAACAAAATAGTACTAAATGAGAATACTAACACAGGGAGGGTAATCACAAAAAGAAAACAAACAGATTCTGCAGTTGAAAAATACAGTTTCTAAAGAAGTGAAAGGTGTACTGCTGGGCTTCAACAGCAGATAGTCTGCAGGCAGAAAACACAGCGACCTTGAACTGAGGACACTGAAATGACTGAACCTGAGGGAGCACAGAGGAAAAAGATTGAAGAGGACCGTGGCACTTGTAGAACACGATTGACAGAACAGTGGAAGCAAACAGGAGTCCCAAAGGGAGAAGAGAGAAAGGGGCAGAAAGGAATTTGAAGAGATAATGGCTTAAAACTTTCCAAATCTGATGTAATACATGAATCTACAAATCCAACAGGCTTAGTGAACCCCAAGGAGGATAAGCCCCAAAGAGATGCAAGTTGAAGCACATAATCAGTCAAAAGAGAGAATCATAAAAGCAATGAGTTAAGTAACCCATCACAAACAAGGATCCTCAATACAATTTTCAGCTATTTTCTCCCTCTAGAAACTTTGGAGACCAGAAAGCAGTGAGGTGATATATATAAAGTACTAAAGAAACAGAAAGTCTAAATAAATCTACAAGTAGTTTCTAGTACCATTCCCAATAAAAGAAATCGAAGTTTTCACATAGATGTTTCTCTTTGTCTCTCCCTCTCCCTTCCTCTCTCTGTTAAAAAAAGCAATAAAATTATTTTTTTCCAAAGAAATGGCTAAAAATTTCCCAAATTTGGTGAAAGACATAAACCCACAGATTTAAGAAGCTGGGCAAACTCCATACAGGATAAACCTAAAGGAATTCATGAGAAAAACACCTTGACTTTCAAACTTCTGAAAACGAAAGACAAATTAAAAATCATAAAAACAACAAGAGAAAAATGATACCTTCCTTATAAGGAAGAATACAATTTGAATATTTTTATGAATTGAATTTATTCTAGACAGTGTATTGTTGGGTCATTTTTAAACCATGTGTCAGTGTTCTATAGATGGGAAGTAAGCCATGTTGGTTAACAGTACTGTTCAAATCTTCTGTAGCTTATTTTTCATCTATTTGTTCTATCAATTATTGAGAAAGTGCTGTTACAGTCTAGCTGTAATTGTAGATTTGGGTATTTGAATTTTATTAGGATTTGGTTTGCTTATTTTAAAGTAGTGTTAAAAGATGGAAAAATATTTAGGATTGTTTTGTCCTCTTGATGAATTATTGTGCAGTGAGGTGATGTATGTGCAGTGTTTGTCTTTATTCCAAATAATATTCCTTTATTTTGAATTTTACTTGGATATTAATATAGCCACTCGTATTTCTATTTATTGCGTTTGCATAGTATCTTTTTTGTTCCTTTTCTTATAACTTTTCTGTGTCTTTATATTTAAAGTGGATTTCTTGTAGACATCATATACTTGGGTCTTGACTTTATATACAATCCACTAATCTCTGCCCTTTGATTGTAATGATTAGACCATTGTTAATACTATTATTGATATGGTTGTGATTAAATGTACAATGTGACTCTTTGCTAACTAGTTCTCCAGTATGTTTTTTCCTTTTTTCTACTTCAGTTGCTTTCTTTAGATTAATTGTATATCTATAGTGATTCCGTTCTATCTACTTTACTGGTTTATTAGCCGTGCTCTTTTCTATGGGTGTGTGGTTGCTTTTGCATTACAACAGAGATCTTTTTTCTTAATTGAATTTATTGGGGTTACATTGATTAATAAAATTATATAGGTTTCAGGGGTACAATTCTATAGTACATCATCTGTATATTGTATTGTATGTTCACCAACCCAAGTCATGTCTCTTTCCATTACCATTTGTCCCCTCTTTACCCTCTCTTGCCTCCCCCCACACCGCTTGCCTTCTGGTAATCACCATACTGTGTCTATGAGTGTGTTGGGTTGTTTTCTGCTTAATCCCTTCACCTTTTTCATCCAGCTCCCATACCTCCTCCCCGATGACAGCTATAAGTCTGTTTCTGTTTTGTTCAACATACATCTTTGACTTTATCTATTACAGTCTACCTTCAAAAAATAACATTTACTTCATATATATTATAAGAATCTTATAATAACTTTTTATTTTTACCTTTCATCTTTTGCGGTATTATCATCATATAGTATAAATCTCACAGTATACTGTCGTTTTAAAACATAATTTACCTTTTTTTTGAGTTCTGAAAATTAGGAAAGTATTTTTATCCTCATGTTTCCAGGTTGTGGTGCTCTTTATTTCTACATATAAACCTATTCCCACCTGATGGCATTTTTTCTTCTGTCTAAAGAATGTCTTTTATCTTTCCTTCAGTACATGTCAATTAGTGGTAAATCCTTTCAGGTTTTGTCTGTCAAAAAATGTTACATATTTGCTAAGTATGTAATTCTAGGTTGACTTTTGCTTTCTCTAGTACTTCAACACTGTCAGGTCATTGTCTTCCGATGCGTGTTCTGACCGGAAGCAGGCATTCTTTCTTACCTCTGTTCCTTGGTGCGTACTGTGTCTTTCTCTGTCTGCCGCAGGTTTTCTTTGACAGTGGTTGTCGGCAATTTGATTAAATATTCCTTGATGTGGTTTTCTTCATGTTTCCTCCTTGACATTCATTTAGTTTCTTGGCTCCAAGGGCGTATACATTTCATCAGAATTTGAACATGTATTTACTCATTTCTTCAAATGTTTTTTCTTCCTCCTTTTTTCCTTACGAGATGCTACTGACACTCATTAGATAACTTGATATTATCCCACAGGTCACAGATAACTCTGCTTACTACTTTCCAGTCATTTTTCACTGTGGGTTTTTTCTTTCATAGTTTCAACTTATAGCTTAATTATGCCTTAAAGTCATCTGACTTGTGTCATTTATCTTTCCTTATGTGGTATCTATACTTTTATTAATACTAACCAGTGTTTTCTGATCTGTTTTATGGTTGGTTTTCTCATTTCAGATATTTTTCATATTTAGAATTTCAGTTTGTGTCTTTTTTAAAAATTCCCTTTTTCTTCTCATCATGTTCATATTTCTCTTTCTCTTCTTGAACACATGGAGTATATTTGCTATTTTAATGGCCTTGATTATTTTAATGTGTCATTTTGTATTCTGTTGCTACTTGCTGATTTTCTCCTTGAGAGTAGTTACATATCCCTGCTTGTGTTCATTCCTAGGAATTTTTGTTTGGTGCTGGATGTTACGAGTTTTATATTATGTGCTAGTCTTGTCACTGTATTTTAAATTGGCATGGAGGGTGGTGGTTCTGGGATGTGATTAAGTTATTTGGGATTAATTTGATCCTTTCAAGATTTGCTTTAAACTTTATTATGTTAGATTCAGAGCTCACTTTAGTCTCGGACTAATTTGGATCCTCTGCTACGGCAATAAATGCCCCTCTGGTTATTCTCCCCAGTTGGTTATAATTTAGGAAGTTTTTCTACCTTCACTGGTGGGAACAGAAACTTCCTACCCCTGTGTATGCTTTGGTGATTTTTCAGCCTGGTCTTTTTCACTGGTCTTTACCCGACCTTCACCTGTTTTTCTTACAAGATATTTCTGCAGGTATTCAAAATATTTTTTTACTGATTTTGAGAGAGAGAGGGAGAGGAAGGAAGGGAGAGAGAGAAAGAGCGATGTGAGAGTGAGCCACCGATTGGCTGCCTCCTGCACACCCCCATTGAGGATCGAGCCTGCAACCTGGGCATGTTCTGACCCAGAATCAAACCCGCAACTTTTTGGTGCACAGGATGACATCCAACCAACTGAGCCACACTGGTCAAGGCCAAGGCTCTTTTATCAGTACATCTCTCTTCTCTGGTACTTTATCCTACAAGTTCTAGTTGCCATAGCTTCCTTAAAGTCCATTTCTGTTTCCTCATCTTATTGAGTCAGCCAGGCTCTGTTTTGGTCTCTTTTTGTGCTGTGGGTTGAAAACTCTCTCAGCCTTAAGCAGCAATAATCATAGAACTCACCTCATTTATTTCCCTATTCTCAAGTATCCGTGTCTACACTGCCTGTTGTCTAGAGCCTAAAAACCATTTCTGTTTTTCAGATGTCTGATATGAGGAGTAAATCAGTTTCTTTTACTCTATTATAGACAGATTTCAAAGTCCTTATGAAGTCTCTTATTCAAAACACAGAAATTGACCATTTAGAATTTAATGTTATATAGGCTTCTGATTCAAGGGTTTAAGGAGAGTGATCCACTATGAATGTAAAAATATGTTTTTTGTTGTCACTTCTCCAAAAAAAGTTTCTAGTGAACATCCTCAATGTACTGCTTCTGAAGCTGTACCTTCCTTCACGTTCAGAAATAGTGAAACCTGTGCAGCTGGCTCAAGTGCTGAATTATTCCCCACTTCCAGGATACTGCTTCACCAAACCAGAACTGATCTTCATGTTGGAACAAGGAGAGGACCCATGGTTATTAGAGAAGGAATTTCTAAGCAGAAGCTCCCCCGGTAAGTTATTGAATACTGGCAGAAGGCATCCAAGAAAATTGGATCTAATAGGTCTAATGTGTAAGGTGGGCAACTAACAAAGGGAATGGATTACAGGTGTGTTGATACTCTTATTTTTTTCCTTTTTACTGACTTTATTGGGGTGACACTGGCTAACAAAATCGTGCAGGTGCACGATTCTACAACACATCATCGGTACGCTGTATTGTGTTTACCACTCCAAGTCTCCGTCCATCACCATTTATCCCCCGTACCCTCCTCCACCTCCCTCCAACTCACCTCCCCATACTGTTGTCTGTGTCCATGAGCTTTTTCTCTCTTTTTTCTCTGTTGCTCAATCCCTCCACTCCCCCCCCCAACACAGCAGTTAGCCTGCTCTCTATGGGTCTGTCCCTGTTTAGCTTGTGTGTTTTGTTCATTAGATTCCACATGAGTGAGATCATGTGGTACTTGGCTTTCTCTGCCTGGCTTATTTCACTTAGCATAATGCTCTCCAGGTCTCTCCACGCTGTAGCAAAGGGTAAGAGACCCTTCTTTTTTACAGCTGAGTAGTATTCCATTGTGTAAATGTCCCACAGCTTTTATATCCACTCATCGAGTGATGGGACTCTAAAGACACAACTGTAAGAAATTTTTGCCCCAGAGCTCCGTTCATCTTTATTCAGTATATTTTCTTCTCTGTAATGAATAATTGAGCCATTCCTACTGTACTGTCATAAAGTTCCATGTTTTTTTTCCTCTGTTCTCTCCATTCTCCTACTATGATCATGCACTGAGTTTTTTAAAATAAATATTTTAATTTAGAATAGCTTCAAATTCACAGAAAAGTTGCAGGGATAGAAAGAATTCCTATATACCCTGTACCCAATGACCCTACTTTAACATCTTATGTTACTAGAAGATTTGTCTTAACTAATAATATAACATTGATGCATTATTATTAAATGAACTCCATACTTCATTCATATTTTCTTGTTTTTGTTCTAAATTTTTAAACCTAAGTATACCATTTGAAGCTGAATAATAAGTAATGGATATATATTAACAGTATAAAGATAAAAACTAAAGCCCACCCAGCATGGCTCAGGAGATCGTGGTTCGATTCCGGTCAGGGCATATGCCCAGGTTGTGGGCTCGATCCCCAGGTAGGGGCTTGCAGGAGGCAGCTGATCAATGACTCTCTCATCACTGATGTTTCTATCTCTAACCCTCTTCCTTCCTCTCATTGAAACCAATAAAGATATAAAAACACACACACAAAATCTCTTGACACACACAAAAAAATTTAAAAAGATAAAAACTAAGAAAGGCCAATAAAACAACTAAAATTTGGAGTAAACAGATTAGAAGGGAGAAAGGAACCATTGATTTTATCATTATATAATAATTGCTCAATACCATCTAAATAAATAGATGATTAAGGACTTACATAATGAAATTAGACAACTACTGGAGCAAACTGCAATCTTTCTGATTGTTAGGAGTTACATACATTTGACAGAGCAAAGAAAGCAGACCTGTTAATAGAAAAGTTTCCTATAAAGCTATGACAGGGGTCCCCTGGACCCCCATGGGGTTCATTGAGTCTCTGAGAAGACACAGCATACAGTTATCCTCATAGCTTACATTTATACAGTGAAATGATGCAAGGCAAAATCAGCAAAGAGAAGGGTGCATGGGATGAAGGCTAGAGGAAACCAGGTGCAAGCTTCCAAGACCGCCAGCTAAGAATTGTGACAACACGTGAAATGTTGTCTACCTGGAAAATTCATTAGGACAAGGTTCTTGGGAACCACCTCGAAATCTAAGTTCTCATATACCAGCCAAGGGCTAATCTTCCAAGCAGACCTTTCTGAGGGTAGCAGTCTCAGGCCTGCTTGCAGACTCACTACATTACAGAGTAAAACAAACATGTCTGCCATATCACTGGTGTAAGCAGAATAAATTCACCTGTTAAGAGAAATGCTATCAAATTATGAAAGAGATACACCTAAAATTTACTGTAGAGAGTTTGAAATGAAGTTATGAACTGGTAAGCCAAAAATAAAAAATAACTCAGTATGTATTTATTTGTGTAACTAATATGTAAGGTTCAATTCAGGTCAAAAAGGACAATTGCTAAAAAAGATAATTTTTAAAGGATATATAAAAGTTTTGAATATTAGTGTACCAAGAAAATTATCATCGAGTCATAAAGCAAAAATTTCAAGAGCTGTAAGGAGAAATAGGAACACATTTGATATTACAGACCTTAATATTCCTCTCTGATTTTATTCTAGAGCCAGTGGACTCTAGAATACTGCTCGGCATGACCAGCAAAACCTAAAATATTTACTCGCTGGCCTTTTACAGAAAAAGTTTATGGACCTCTGGCCTAGAAGTTAGAAATAGCATATTTTATTACATCTATTGTGTGTCTTTCAAAACTCTATTCTGAAAACAAAGAATAAACCTCATTTTAAAGGACCTTGGAGCACTGACAAAATGTAAAAGAATTTTAGGCAAGCCCTGGCTGGTTTGGCTCAGTGGTTAGAACATTGGCCTGTGGACTGAAGGGTCGCAGGTTCGATTCCGGCCAAGGGCATGTCGTACGTCAGTTGCAGGCTCGATCCCCGCCCCCAGTCAGGGTGCATGCGGGAGGCAACCAGTCGATGTGTCTCTCCTATTGATGTTTCTCCCTCTCTTCCTCCCCCACTCTCTCTGAAAAGCAGTAGAAAAACTATCTTTGGTTGAGGATTAAATAAATAAATATATACAAATTGATTTCTTTACAAAAAATTTCTTTAGGAAAATGTCGATAAATTCTACAAAGTAAAGATATTTTTGTTTAATAACACTAAATTGCAAAGAATATGAGAAAAATTAAAATCCCTCGATCTTAATAATGAATGTATATCTTTTTTTAAAAACCTATTTTATCAAAGAGTAAATCAATATTGTACAATATCCAGAATTGTTTTTAATGAAAAATATATTTATCAGAACCTCTAAAGCAGTGCTTCGAGGAAAATTTTCAGTCTCATATACTTATTAAAAAAAAAACAAGGAAAGTTTTAAAAGAAAACTAAGCAGAGCAAAGGACATAATAAAGATAAAACTATAGTGGTAAAATATTACAAAACCAAAAGGTGGTTCTTGGAATAAAAATAATTAAAATAGCTAACCTCAAGTAGGAAGAAGAAAAAAAGCACTACTCCTAATGTTAAGTTTGGGCTCAGATTCCTGCTTCTCCAATATACTCTTGGAATCCTTTCTTTTGTAAACTCTTAACCCACTTGAGCATGTCAGAAGAAAATGAGACTCTACTGGAGCATACAGTTATTTAATGAACTCCTTTCCTCAACTAGATTATAACCTCCCCAAAAAGGTCGTCTCTGTTTTACTCTTCCTTAATCTGGTATGTATCACAGTAAATATTATTTAACAACATGTAGATGGATTCCAAAGCCAGGTGGAGAATGGTATTTCATGCTGATTCACTCAGGAAACACTACTATAAATACAAATGCCCAAGTCAAACCTGTGGGACTTTTGAATCATCAGGTAGATCAGCATTGGAGCTGAGCCCTTGTGCTCAGTGAAGAAGCTCTCTAGGTAATTTTGAGGCACACAGCTTTTTATGGGTCATTTACATAATTTATATTACCAAAGTGTATAAGGAATATCACAGTGAGGGTCTTATTTTGGAGAGCTGTGCAAAGATGCATAAATATATCTTATATCATACAAGGTACTATTGGTTAAAAGGTGAACCAGTATTTTAGGTACAACCAAGAAAGACAAAGGTGTTACCCATTTAACTATGGACTTTCCATCAGTTTTAAGATACCTCCTGATTTTAGTGATGGTAATTACTTTAAAAATAATGAGTCATAGATATAGGTGCTCTCTCGATATCCCTTGTTAAAGTAAATGATTCAGACACTAACTTCTTTTATATTTTTAAACAAATGTTGTTTAAATTTATGGGAAGATATTAGAGCACTTTTATTATTTTTTTTTATTTCTTTTGTTTATCTTTATTCTTGAAAGTATTACAGATATCCTCCCTTTTTTCCCCAGTGATCCCTTCCACCCCACATGCACACCCCCTCCTAGTCCTTCACCACACTATCATGTGTCCATGGGTTATGCATATACGCGTACAAGTTTTTGATTAATCTCTCCCCACCCGCTCCCCCACCCCTGCCTTCCCACTGAGATCCCTCAGTCTGTTCCATGGATCTACTTTGTTCCTCAGTCTATTTTGTTTATTAGATTCCACTATGAGTGAGATCATGTAAAACTACTTTGTTCCTCAGTCTATTTTGTTTATTAGATTCCACTATGAGTGAGATCATGTAAAACTACTTTGTTCCTCAGTCTATTTTGTTTATTAGATTCCACTATGAGTGAGATCATGTAAAACTACTTTGTTCCTCAGTCTATTTTGTTTATTAGATTCCACTATGAGTGAGATCATGTAAAACTACTTTGTTCCTCAGTCTATTTTGTTTATTAGATTCCACTATGAGTGAGATCATGTAAAACTACTTTGTTCCTCAGTCTATTTTGTTTATTAGATTCCACTATGAGTGAGATCATGTAAAACTACTTTGTTCCTCAGTCTATTTTGTTTATTAGATTCCACTATGAGTGAGATCATGTAAAACTGAATCAGGAAGAATCAGAAAATCTGAATAGGGCAATAAGAACTGATGAAATTGAAACTAAATAAAAAAAAAACTCCCAGCAAACAAAGGCCCTGGTCTAGATGGCTTCATAGGGGAGCTAATTCTTTAAGTTGCAGGCTTAGAAAGTTTACTAAAAATTCTTCTTGCTTTTTGACGTAGGCCTCTAGTGCTATGAACATCCCTTTTAAGACTGCTTTCACTCTGTCCCATAGATTTTGGGTTGTTGTGTGCTCATTTTCATTTGTTTCCAGGAAGTTTTTGATTTCTTTCTTGATCACATTGGTTACCCATTCATTGTTTAATAACATGTTATTTAGCCTCCATGTGTTTGAATGCTTTTGAGTGTTTTTACTGTAGTTGATTTCTCATTTCATGCATTGTGATCTGAGATGCTTGATATGATTTCCGTCTTCTTAAACTTGTAGAGACTGGTTTTGTGTCCTAATGTGTGGTCTGTCTTTGAGAATGACCCATGTGCACTTGAGAGGAATGTATATTCTGCAGCTTTGGGGTGAAGTGTTCTATAAATATCAATTAAATCCATCTGATCGAGTGTGCCATTTAGAGCCACGGTTCCTGTGTTGACTTTTTGTCTGGAATATCTATCCAGTGAAGTCAGTGGGGTGTTAAAGTCCACGATGATGACTGTATTGCTCTTGATGTCTCCCTTAAAGTCTTTAAGGTTATTGTTGATAGGTCCTTATTTATTGACACTTTAAATCTTTATGCCTATGTTTCTCTCTGTTCTTATTATTACAGCAGTCCCTTTAACATTTCTTGCTATGCTTGTATTTCTACTTCTAATTACAGCAGTCCCTTTAACATTTCCTGCAGTGCTGCTTTGGTGGTGATAAACTCTAGCCATTTTTTTATCTGGGAAGCTCTTATTTCACCATCTATCTTGAATGATAGCCATGCTGGATAGAGTAGTCTTGGTTTCAGATCCTTGTTTTGCATTACCTTGAATACTTCATGCCATTCCCTTCTGGCCTGTAGAGTTTCTGATGAGAAGTCAGCTGACAGCCTTATGGGAGCTCCTTTGTAGGTAACAGATTGCTTTTCTCTAGCTCCCTTTAAGATTCTCTGTCTTGAATTTTTGGCGTTTTAATTATGATGTGTCTGGGCATGGGCATCTTTAGATTCTTCTGCTTGGGACTCTCTATGCCTCCTGAACTTGTATAACTTTTTCCTTCACCAGATTAGGGAAGTTTTCTGCCAGTATTTCTTCAAACAGGTTCTCTAACCCTTGCTTCATTTTACCTCTTCCAGCACTCCAGAAGAGGTCAAGTGATGCGAATATTGTTACATTTCATGTTGTTCCACAGCTCCCTTATACTGTCGTCCTGTTTTTTACTTGTTTTATCTTTCTGGATCTCTGATTAATTTTTTTCTACCTTGTCCTCTAATTCACTGATCTGATCCTCAGCTTCCTCTAATCTAATGTTTATTTCTTCCAATATATTCTTTATTTCTGCTATGTCTGTCATTCATCATTTCTGACTGGTCACTTTTCATAGTTTCTGTATCTTTTTTCATGCTGTTCATCATCCTTACAATCACTATTCAGAACTCTATATCTGATAGATTACTTATCTCCATTCCATTTAGCTCTTTGTTTCTATGTATTAGGTAGGCCTGCTAGGACTCTCAATCTTTTGGGAAGGTCTCTGGTGCAGGCCAGTGTCAGATGCTCTTTGTAACTGGCCTTGAGTACCCTGTTTGGGGCTATCAACAACCCTCAGCTTGAGGTCCCCTCTGCTAGGGCTGGGTGCAGATGGACAGGACCAAGGTGCACACCAGAGTCTGCTTTTCCAAGGCCCAGGTCCAGAAGCACATCAGGCAAAGACTCAAAGCACTCTGAAGTCTGCCTCTGCCTGCAGGCTGATTTATCGGATTCTCTTAATGAGCCTCAGGCTATAGAAACTCCACCAGGTAGGGGGAGAGGTTTTTCCAGCATGGTGGGGCAATTGCTTCCCCTTCAGGCAAAAGCTGTTTGGAATGTAAATGCCTGCCTCTGCAGTATGGAGGAATGACTGGGCATCAGAATATGGAGGGGTGCCCTCTGAGCTCTGTCTCCAGAGCCCACAACTCTAGATTTTCCTCACACAGCTCCAGTCCACTCTGCCCTCCCTCTCCTGGAGCCCAAAGTGAGTGGCTGCACACGAAACTTTGTGTGTTGGCTCTTTAAAGGGGTGCCTGCATTTCCAGCTCTCTCTCCAGCTGGCAGACAGAAACCCGGCTGCTTTTCACAGCCAGATGTTCTGTGGACACCTTTCTCAGTTCTGGTGCTCTTGGCTGGGAAGCCCAGCCTGGAGGTTAGGCCCCAGTGTCCTCAGTCGGAACCCCCTGCCACTGAGATAACCCTCCAACTTTCAGCTGCTGCCCAGCCCTTTCACACCTCCTTAGTTCCTACCGGTCTCCATGCAGTCTCCACTTTTCCTCCTTGGTATGAGGGTGCTCTCCAGCTCATCTTCAGTTGCAGTTGATTATTCAGGATGGGTTTTCTCTATTTTAGTTGTAATTCCAGTTTGGTCCCGAGAGAGTGTCAGTGTACTTTCCACTCAGTCTACTGCCATCTTTAATCCTCTCGATCCCTTTTGTTTTCAGTTAAGATTTTGGAAAATAGTTTTGCCCTGCCTGACAGGGCATCTAAATCCTAAACAGTTCTAAGGCTATCCCAGAGGATAATTTAGGGAAAAATGCCAGTATAAAGTTATTGCTGGAAATGAACCATTTAATGAGGACTGACATCTTGACAGGGTAAGAGCAGAAAATACTGTGAACTAGTTGAATAGTAGGTATACCATGAAATAAGCATGTAGTTTGTAAAACTTCCTTTTTCTAAATCATATCACTTAAATCTTTCATCTGCTGGTACCAAGGACAGTGCATTCAAAACCTTCAAATAATTTTAGCATAGGCCTGACATTTTTTGCATGGAGTGTGGGTAGCAGCAGGGCAATAGCAATCAAATAATGCACAATAAATTTATAGTAAATAAATGTAAAGGATATTTCTAAAATTTCTAGGGCCAGTTTGTAACATGTGATCCTTAGAAGTTCTCGCAGTCAATAAAAACTACATAGGCTTGTTAAAAAGTAGATGGAAAATAGGATTAAGAATAGACAGGGACAAGATTTGTTTGGGGAAAATGAGTAAACAAATTGAAAGAAGAAAGTTAAGACTTAATGATAAAGAGATATTCCCTATTGAACAGCCCTGATATAAATGCTAAATAAGACCAGGACCAGGATAAAGTGGTGACTCCAATATACATGGAAAACTTATTTAACTCTTACCACTTTTTCACTTCCACTGATACATTTATGTTTCTGTGAATGATACTACAAAGAATTAAAGGGTGGCCAATTGAATGATTTCTTTCAACATGAGAAAGTTGGTGCCATTATAAATTTATCTACTTAGTGTGATAACCCTTTGTTAATTCATCCCATTCTTTGCCTTTTCTGTCCCTAGGATCCAACTCTCTTAAGTGTAACCTCTCCTCTCCGTTGCTTTGTCCCTTTATATCTTCGTCTCTGTTTTGAAAATTATATCTGAAGATGCCAAAATATGTGTATATTTATTTCTAGTTTCCTCTCTTTTTTTCTACTACACAATGTTTATTTTTAACAAAAAGGAAGAATATACACTTGGAATTTCTTTATTTTGGGAAACTGAGCCAGAAACCAAGGAGTCAAATATGTCATAGGGCCTATAGGTCCCATTCCATAAGGAATATGTTAAATATTGTAAAGTAATTTTAATTTTCTTATTTTTAGAAAAATCTGAACTTGATGAACTCTCAGAGAAGAGCCCAGAAAGCCAAGGCAAAGAGTTGTGGCAAGTTTTATTTACCAACAAATCATTGACTACAGAGCAAGATATTTCAGGAAAGCCATGTAATCTGGATATAAACATTTTTCCTGCAAGAATGATGCCCTGTAAATCTGACACTACAGGGCCTGCTTACTTGCATCTCAGCTCATTGGCCCTACATTGTCAGTATTCAAGAAGGAAGGCTCCTGAGATTAATGTATGTGAGAAATGGCTCCTCGGTATTAAGGATGGCAGAACTAATACTGGAGAGAAATCCTTTGTTTACAGTAAAAATGTAAAAGCCTTTGGTCATAAAGAGGAAGTTATTCAGCATCAGACTTTGTGGCAAGCTTTTGAATATAAAGAATGTGGAAAATCTTGCCTTGGAAAGACTGCCCTTATTACATCTAATAACACCTACCCAAAAGTGAATTTTTATCAACTTAATAAATTTGGGGAAAACCAGTGTGATAAATCAACCCTTAGAGTCTCTCAGAGCAATCATCCAGAGGAGAAGAGTCACTATGTATTTAATGGATATGAATGTACTGAAAACAGAAATAATTACAGTAGAATCACTCAAAGAACTGACAAAGAAGGGAAATCTTTCAGCCCCAAATCCCACATTAGAGAACACCGGGAAATTCATATCGGGGTGAAACCCTTTGAATATGGAAAGAATTTCAGCCATAATTCAGCCCTCTTGGTGCATCAGAGAATTCACACAACAGACACATCCTCTGATTATAACACATCTACAGAGACATTGGGTGACCGGTCAACTTTCAGCATACATCAGAGAGCTCACATAACAGTGAAACCCTATGAGTGTAATGAGTGTGAAAAATCTTGCTGTATGAATTCACACATGATTCAGCCTCAGAAAAGTCACACAGGGGAGAAACATTATGAATGTCATGAATGTGGGAAAGCTTTCAGTGAGAAAGCACGCCTAAGAAAACATCAGAGAACTCACACAGGAGAGAAACCCTATAAATGTGATGGGTGTGAGAAATCTTTCAGTGCAAAATCAGGCCTAAGAATACATCAGAGAACCCACACAGGGGAGAAACCCTTTGAATGTAATGAATGTGGGAAATCTTTCAACTATAAGTCAATTCTTATAGTACATGAGAGAACTCACACAGGGGAGAAACCCTTTGAATGTAGTGAATGTGGGAAATCCTTCAGCCATATGTCAGGCCTAAGGAATCATCGGAGAACTCACACAGGAGAAAGACCATATAAATGTGATGAATGTGGGAAGGCTTTCAAACTGAAGTCAGGCCTAAGAAAACATCATAGAACTCACACAGGGGAGAAGCCCTATAAATGTAGTCAGTGTGGGAAAGCTTTTGGTCAGAAATCACAACTCAGAGGACATCATAGAATCCACACAGGGGAGAAACCCTATAAATGTAATCATTGTGGGGAAGCTTTCAGCCAGAAATCAAACCTTAGAGTACATCACAGAACTCACACTGGGGAGAAACCCTATAAATGTGATGAGTGTGGAAAAACTTTCAGGCAGAAATCAAATCTCAGAGGACATCAAAGAACTCACACAGGGGAGAAACCCTATGAATGTAATGAATGTGGAAAAGCTTTCAGTGAGAAGTCAGTCCTAAGAAAACATCAGAGAACTCATACAGGGGAGAAACCCTATAATTGTAACCACTGTGGAGAAGCTTTCAGCCAGAAATCAAATCTCAGAGTACATCAGAGAACTCACACAGGGGAGAAACCCTATAAATGTGATAAATGTGGGAAAACTTTCAGCCAGAAATCAAGTCTTAGAGAACATCAGAAAGCCCATATAGGGAATTAAATGTGAATATAAAGAATATGGAACAACTCTAAGGTGGAAATCAAATCTCACAATACAAAAGAACAAATAGAGAACCCCTGTGAATATAATGAACACTTGAAAGTTCCTCTGCATGATACCATCCTTCACTAAACATCAGAGATAAATTCTTAGAATATATTTTATATGGATAGTCTTTCATCCAGAGTATAGACCTCATTGTAGATCACAGAACTCACCCAGCAAAGAAACTCAGTAAAGATAATGAATATAAGAAATACTCTGTGCATTCAGTCCTCAGAAAACTCACACTGCAGGAAAACTGAGAATGTAAAGAAAATCTGGAAACTTTGCATCAGCAAGCATACACATATATCATCAGAGAAATCACAGTGAGAAAACTGAGAATGTAATCAATGTTTTATAACCATTAGCCAAAAACCAGCTTTCTCAGTACAGCTGAAAATATATAGAGAGTAGAGACCTCATAGTGTAGCAACATAGACATGAAATGACGTAATGGCTGTGGAGAATCCTTCTACTATAAGTCCTCCCTGAATTTGACTTCTCAGGGGTAATCCCCTATGTTATATAATAACTATTAATTGTTCACCAATAACCATTTCCTCTTCCTCATGACACACCTAGTCTAAATTTATCAACCACTCTGTCATCCAAATGGGGTCATATTATTAACCTCTGGCTAGTGGAATGTGGGGATCAATGGCAAGTCTTATTAGTTAACATCCCTCAAATTCTCAGTGTTTTCTCCTGTCCCCTACCAGAATGGAGTGGCAATTACCCTCAGTGAAACCATGGAGCTGAAGATGGAAGAGTACACAATGGAAGGAAACACAGTCAAAGAGCGACTGCCATTAGCCTTTAGGCAGTGACTAAATAAACTTGTTCTCTGCTCAGCTCCTATAGGTTTGGGTATAGTTAATATTTCCTGTACTCACCATCTCTCAGTTAACAAAGCCTATGGGTATTTCTGTGGACATCTGAACTCAGTATCAGAAACACCACATTGGAGAAACACCTGATAATAGACTGAATGAGCACAGTTTTTATCCATAAGTATTCCTCATAAGTCAGGAACTATCAGGAAAAGAAATCCAACATTTCAACCTGTAGGAAATCCTGTACCAAAAATGACATCTCATTAAATATCTGATAATTGAGTTATGAATGTGTGAAAGTTTTCAACAAGTTATCAAATTTTAATATTTCTGAATGTGTTACAAGGGGGAAATCTATTAATGTAAGAGAGGTAGGTAATAGCCTTTACCTTATAAATTCTTATATCAGAGCTTTTTCATATGTAATATTAAAACATTTAATGATATATAACTACTGATTCATAGACATTCACTAGAATAAGCAGCTTTAAAAGAAAATAAATAAATTCCATAAACTGAACAGTATTGAAGTATGTGAATATTTTCTGGGCTGTATGGTTTATCTGTGAGTTTGTATACATGCATGCCACTTAGCAGATATTTGTTTCACATGTGTATTGGAACTCAATGTTGTAATTACAACATTGTTTAGTAACTATTCTGACATCAGCTTCAATTTGCCACATGAATATTAATAACAAATAAACCTTTTATAGAAGTGTCTGAAAAGTCAGAATCATACCACATTCCCTTTCTCACGCTGCCTTCTGACGTGTAGATATAGGGAAGGACACTCACAAAATTGTCTCTTTTCAGTGGAACCAAACAATGAAAACATACATGTAAGCATGCACACACACACACACACATAAAATCTTAAATATCACTGTTTCTTTCCTCAGAGGTATCAACTGTACTTAAGGAGCCCTTTGAAGGCATTTTTTTATTTATGGTACTTTTTTTCTTGTTAATCCTTACCAGAGGATATTTTTTCCATTGATTATTTTTAAAGAGAATGGAAGGCAGGGAGGGAGGAAGAGAGAGAAACATCTATGTGAGACAAACATCAATTGGTTCCCTCCTGCAGGAGCCCCAACTGGGGCCAGGGATCAAACCTACAACCCAGGTACATGCCCTTGACCAGGAATAGAACCCACGGCCCTTAGGTGTGCAGGCCAACGATCTAACCAACTGAGCCACACCAGCTGGGACTATTTATGATACTTTTTAAAATTTTTCCAGGTTTTAAAGTGTATTATACTTTAACATCTCTGCTGAAGTGACCTAACTGATCTTCCCCACTAGAGTCATTATGCATGGCATCTGGCATTCTCTCTCTCAGTTAAGCAACAGCTTGGGTCCCTGTTTCTCCCTCAGCCACCCAGCTTTCCGAACTTTGGGTGCATTTCCTGCTCTGCAATCTCAGGTATCTAAAGCATTCAAGTCTGCCCAGCTCTTGTCTTCCTGAGAGGAGCAGTGCTCTTTCCTGCTCTCTACTTATCTGAGCTTTAACTGAAAGTTGTCAGTTGATTTTTAACAAATGTTCCAAGGTAATCTGATAGGAAAAGGAGGACTTTTTTTAAATTGTGATAAAATAACTGGATATTCATATATATAAAATGCACCTTTGTTTATACCGTAATTATTTATTCAAAATAAGTTGTAGACCTAAACAAAATATCCAACAGTATAATTAGAAGATATAGAATAAACTAATTTCGCTCTGAGGCAAAATGAGATTTTTAAGATTTAACATGAAACATGAAACAAAAGCCAAAAAATAAGTTGGAATTTATTAAAATTTAAAGTGTCTGCTTTTCAATATGTTATCAAAATGAAAAAGGAAATCACAGATTGGGAGAAAATGTGTTTAGTAGATTCATCTGACAAAAAACTTGCACCCATAATATATAAAGACTGTTCATAAAGTAATAATAACAGACAACTCAGTTAAAATGGGCAAAATAAGAAAAAAGGTTAAAACAGGCATTTTACAAAAGAAGATATATACTGTAAGTTGGAAAGGTTGGAAATAAGGTGGACAATTAACTAGAAAAGATTCTAAAGCTTTAGTCATCAAGGAAGTACAAATTAAAACTATACGATAATGGTATTACAAGTCCATTTGACAGCTCTGTAACTACAACCAACAATTTCAATTCTAGGTATTCACCCCAGAGAAAGAATTGTACCCCCAAAAAATTAATAAGTTTTAAAGATTTCTATTAAGATGTTCATAGAATTTTAGTCATAATAGTCCCAAGTAGAAAGAACACAAATGTCCATCAATGGATAAATGTATAAACTGTGATATAGCTTTCTTAATGTAATGCCACTCAGCAATAAAAAGGAAGGAACTACTGGCTGGCCTGGCTCAGTGGTTGAGTGTTGACCTATGAACCTGGAGGGCACGGTTCAGTTCCCAGTCAGGGCACATGCCCAGGTTGTGGGCTCAATCCCCAGTAGGGGGTCTGCAGGAGGCAGCTGATCAGTGACTCTCATTGATGTTTCTATCTCTCCCTCTCCCTTCTCTCTCTGAAATCAATAAAAACATATTTTTTAAAAGAAGGAACTAATGCATGTAACAACATTGATAAATCTCAATAAGATTATGCTGGGCAAAAGAAGCCAGGCACAACAGAGTAGACTTGCATCATTCCATTTATATGAAATTCTAGGAAAGACATGTAATGTAGAAGGGCAGGAGGCAGGCATTGGTTGTCTGTGGGTGGGGTGAGGGTTAACTGGGTAGGGGAGCAAGGGAATATGGGAATGTGATAGAATGTTCTGTATCTAGACTGTCCTGTGTTTACAAGCTATATAAGTTTTCACATAAAAATACACTGAAATGAATATATAAATTACACCTCAAAATGGTTTATTTTAAAAGTCCTAAGTGAATTTTGGAATCCTAGTACACTGAGACCCAGATTCTGAATTTGTTAAGTGGTTTATTGCCTTAACCAGCTGGGTATTCATTCCCTTTCCTCTCCTGAGTGGCTGTGTGACCTTAGGGGAAACATTTCTCATCAGTGGTTTGGGCATGACTGCACCTGCAAATGTTTCAACAGTTAGGTGAGATGAAATCAAATAGAATGTTGAGAGAAAGCAGCCTTTTATTTGTAATATAATGTAGTCTTGTATTAAAATTATTGGAACAGGGCAGCAGAGAGGCAATAGATACAAGATATAGGAAAAGAAGTATAGACGATTACAGTGAAAGGGTGGAGTCTACTCTACTTAAGTGAGCATCAGAAACCATTTAGTTGCCATCAGTTTTAACTGCTAGACCTTACTTCATGCATTAATGCATTATATCAACATGCTATATTTTAAATGGAGATGAGGGTTTCAGTACTAAGTTTTCTATTCATATCATGTGTCTTGGTAACTTATCCTTGGAGAAAACAAAATCCAAAGCCTACACCCAAATAAGAAGATAAACAACAGTTTATCCTGGGCCCACAGGCCAAGTGCTTGTCTCACAGAAGCCCCACAGCAGCTGCATGTTCTGGGAAGGAAGGTGACCCTCCTAGCATGAATAGCACAGCAGTTGGTGTCTTCAAAAAGGCCAACCAGGTAGGTCTCAGGAGCCTGCTGTAAAGCCCCAAAGGACCCACACTGGAAGCACAGGTCAGGCTACAAGCTTTGAGCAATTTCTAGACTAGTATCTATAAAAGGCTATTGAGGATCAGAAGCTCCTGTGATTTCTGGTACTGCTTGATTTGTGGAGAGTGACAGGCCAAGATAGGTAAAAATGTGACACTAGCAGGTGGTCTTGCTGACAGCTCTGGTGCCAGGGTCCTGGGCATCATGGTCAACTTGGTACAGCACAGGCTGCTGAGCAACACTTCCCACTGCCTACTTTCCTGTGTGGTCTTTGAGAGAAAGAGTGGCCTCTGCACCTGAAGAGGCACAACGCAGCTGCAGGCACATAGTATGATTTTAGCTCTGGACCACATCAAAGTGTGTACCACTTTAAGCTTGGGCACATCACACCTTAATAGAGGTTTACCAGAAAAGGGAGTGCGAGAATTATGTTTCTAACAATCAAACATGGTAATTTTTCATAGTATTTGTGTGTGTGTGGAAAAATGAGTACAATTTTTTTTTTTTAAATTAAGTCTGGCTTCGCCTCACTCTTCGGCATATTTTCCCAATCTTTTCAGTGAGGTCACAGGACAGATCACTGCCCCCAAAATAGAAGAGACAGACAGGTAGAAACAGATATCACAATTTACCGTAACAGATCCATGAGCAGAAACCTTTGTGGGAACCAGAAGTAGGTTAGAAAAATCTGAAGTATAACTGATGAATTGCTAGAAGCTAAGTATGGACAAGTCTGAGAGTTTTAAAACTCTAGGGAGGGGGGCAATCTCCAGGGAGTGCATCCACACTTTTGTGAGTTTTACTTCCAAGAGCTCCATCAGGTTCTCACAGTGAAGACTGGGGATAAATCCTCTCGTACTTCAGGCAGAGGGAGGGGAAATGTAGCTATTTTGCAATAAGCCAGAGCACTCTGTTCTTAACATGGCCTACCCTCAAAGGAAACTATTTTATCAGAACCTAACCTGCTGAGGTTTTATCAGAACCTAACTGACTCGAGGGGAGATAAATACCCAACTCCAGCCTCCTTTAGCCATCCCTACCCACCTAAGATGGGAAGGGAATTAAAAAGCCCTTGTGAAGTGTACATCCCAGGTGTACAGACTCAGTAAAAGACTGAAACCTAGTTATAGGACTTTAGAACAACTTCCCTCCCCCCACAGCTAACTACAACACAAATAAAGGCCTAAGTACCAGAGTTACTTGTGCCCAGTATACCATGTCTGGCTTTCAACGAATATTTACAAGGCATAAAAAAAATGTCTGAAGAGACAAAGCAAGCATCAGAAGCAGTCAGATATGGGAAGAGTATTGAAATTATCAGACCATCAGTTGGACTATGATTAACATGCTAAGGGATTTAATGAGGGGAAATGTGAAAAATTGCAAGACCATATGAGTAATGTAAGCAGAGAAGTAGAAATTCTATGAAAGAATAGAGAAGAAATGCTAGAGCTCAAAAACACTGTAACAGAAATGAATGCCTTTAATGAGCTCAGTAGTAAACTAAACATGGCTCAGGATATAATACATGAGCTTGAGAAAATAGAAACCTCTGGACAAAAATGGAACAGAATATCTAAGAAGTATGGAACTACTTCAAAAGGAGTAACATACTGATAATGGAATACCAGAAGAAAGAGGAAAAGCGAGGGAAATATCTGAAGTAATAATGATTGATAATGCCCTTAAGTTAATGCCAGACAACAAACCATAGATCCAGGAAGCTCAGAGAACACAAAGCAAGATATATGTTCCCAAAACTACACTTAGGCATATCATATTAAAATGGCAGAAAATAAAAGAAAAAAATATTTAAAGAAGCCAGGGAAAAATAATACCTCACCTAAAGATGAGCAAAGATAAGAATGACATCTCCCGAAAACAACGCAAGTAAGAAAACGATGAAATGAAATATTTAACGTGTTGAGAGAGAAAAACCTCACAAACCTAGAATTTTGTATCTTGCAAAATTCAAAGGTGAGGGAGAAGTGAAGAATTTTTCAAACAAACAAAAACTGAAGAGCCTTGGCCTGTGTGGCTCAGTTGGTTGAGCATGATGCCATGCACCAAAAGGTCGCCAGTCTGATTCTTGGTCAGGGGCACATGCCCAGGTTGTGGGTTTGGTCCCCTGTCAGAGTTCATACAGGAGGCAACCCATAGATGTTTCTCTCTGACATCGATGTCTCTCTCTCTCTCCCTCTCCCTTCCTCTCTCTCTAAAAACCAATTAAAAAAAAACAATATTTTTTAAAAATTGAGGAAATGTGCTGCCAGTAAACCTGCCTTGCAAGAAATGCTATAGTTCTTCAGAGAAAAGAAATTTATATAGATCAGAAACTCGTATCTACATAAATAAAGCAAGAACATTAGACAAGAAGCAAGTGATAGTAAAATAAACCTTTGATTTTTCTTATTCTTAATTGATGTAATATAACAGTTTGTTCAAAATATTGTGAGCAACAATGTATTCAATAACCATAGCTTATCTACAAGTGAAATGAAGAACAGTAATGTTACAAGGGCCAGGAAGAAGGAATTAGAAATTTTTGTTATTATAGGTACTTGAACTACCCATGAAGTGATAGTGTTATTTGAAAGTGGACTTGGGTTAGTTGTAAATATATATTGCAAACTTTAGGGCAACCATGAAAAAAAGTACAAAAGGAAGTATAATTGATATGCTAAAAATAAGAGAAAATAGAATAATATAAAATGCTCAATTAAACCCTCAAAAGGCAGAAAAGGAATGGAAAAAAATAGCAACAAAGAACAGGGCAACAAATAGAAAACAGTAACAAGTATGGTAGATATTCATCCAACTATATCAATAATAACTAAATGTCAATGTCTAAATATACCAATTAAAAGATAAAGATTGTCAGAGTGCATCAAAAAATAAGACCCAATGATATGTTGTCCACAAGATATCCACCTTAATATAAAGATACATATAGATTAAAAGTAGAAGGATAGAGAACAGTGTAACATGCTAACACTGTTGAATCAAGATAGCATTGCAGTGCCTAGATTAATTCAGACAGAGCAGACTTCAGAGCAAGGAAAATCATCAGGGATTAAAGGGGCTTTACATAATGATAAAGGGATCAATTCTCCAAGAAGTCATAACAATCCCTAATATGTATATGCCTTAAAACAGAGCATTAAAATACATGAAGCAAAAACTCATAGAACTGGTAAGAGAAAGAGATGAATATACTATTATCACTAGAGACTTCAATAGCCCTCTATCAGAAAGACATATCCAGCAGGCATAAAATCAGTAAATACATACTTGGGCTCAACAGCACCATGAATTTACCTAATATAACTGACATTTGTAGACTCTTTCATCTAACAACAGAAGAATACATATTGTTCTCAAGCTCACATAAAAAATTTAACAATGTAGCCCACATTCTGCGTCATGAAACTCACCTTAACAAATGAAAAGGTATAGAAATTATATAATGTATGCCCTAAGACCACAATGGAATTAAACTAGAAATCAATACAGAAACAAAGCTGGAAAATTCCAAAATAGTTGGAGATTAAGCAATATACTTCTAAGTAACAGCTGAGTCACAGAAGAAATCTCCAGGGAAATTTAAAAATATTTTTAAATAAAGTAAAATACAACATCAAAAATTGTGGCATGCAGAGAAAACAGCACTTAGAGGGAAATTTGTAGCCTTGTATGCCTATATTAGAAAAGAGAAAGGTCTAAAGTCAGTCATCTATGATTCCACCTTAGGAAACTAGGAAAAGAAGAACAAATTAAATCCAAAGTAAGCAGAAGAAAGAAAATAATTAGTGCAGAAATCAACAAAATTGAGAAAAATAATGAAACCAAAAACTGATTCTTTTAAAAGATAAATATAAAAATTGATTAACCTCTAACCAATCTAATAAAAAAAAAGACACAAATTACTAATATCAAAAATGAAAGTTGGGACATCACTACAGATGCCATGCACATTAAAAGGGTAACAAAAGAATACTATGAATAACTCTATGCCCACAAATCTGATAACCTAGATGAAATGGACCAATTTCTTGAAAGTCACAATCTACCAACACTCACACAAGAAGAGATAGACAATCTGAATAGGCCTATATCTATGAAAGAAATTAAATCAATAATTACTAACCTTCCAAAACATAAAGCACCAGGCCCAGATGAGTTCACCTGTGAATCCCACCAAACATTTAAAGAAGAGATGATACCAATCCTCTCCAGTCTCTTCCAGAAGACAGAAGCAAAAGGAGTATTGGTTAATCTGTTCTATGAAGACAGCACTGCCCTAACACCAAAACCAAACAAAGACACTGCAAGAAAAGTAAACTGTAGACCAATATCTATCATTAAAATAGATGCAAAAAATCTCCACAAAATATTAGCAAATTGAATCAAATAATGTATAAAGAGAATTATACACCACAGCCAAGTGGGGTTTATCCTACTCATGCAAGGCTACTTCCAGATTTAAAAGTCAAGGTACTGTAATATTATCTATCACATCAACAGGTTAAAGAAAAAAATTCACATGATCATATCAATAAATCCAGGAAAATGGTTTACCAAAATCCAAACTTATTAATAATAAAAATTCTCAGCAAACCAGGAATAGAGGAAAACTTCCTCAACTTGATAAAGAACATACACAAAAGTCTTGCAACTAACATTATACCTAATGGCAAGAAACTAGACACTTTCCTGTTAATATTAGGAACAAGCAAGGATGTCCCCTCACCACTCCTTTTCAACATTGTGCTGGAAGTCCTAGTAATACAATAACCAAGTAAAGGAAATAAAATGTATACATAATGAAAAAAGAAATAAAACCATCTTTGTTCACAAATGTCATGATTGTCTATGTAAAACATCTGAAAGAATCTACAAAAAATACTCCAGGAACTAATACGCAGTTATAGCAACGTTGCAGGATATAAGGTTAATATATGAACGCTGATTGTTTTTCTATATACTGGCAATGAACAAGTGAAATTTGAAATTAAGGACACAATACTATTTACATTAGCACCCCAAGAAAATGAAAAACTTAAATATAAATCTAACAAAATATACACAAAACCTATGTCAAGAAAACTACAAAGCTCTGAAGAAAGAGATGAAATAATAAACAGATGAAGGGTATTCGATGCTTACGGTTAGGAAGGCTCAATATTGCAAACATATCAGTTCTTCCCAATTTGATCCATAAATTCAATGTGATTCCAATCAAATCCCAGTAAGTTATTTTGTGGATATAAAGAAACTGATTCCAAAGTTTATATAGAGGCAGAACTGAAAGATAAAAACAAAGTCAGAAGACTGCCGTTATCCAACTTCAAGACTTGCCCTAAAGCTCCGGAATAAGACGACGTGGCATGGGTGAAAGAAGAGACTACTAGGTCAATGAAACTGGGCAAAGAGTAAAGACGGAGAATATAAAAATGCTGTCACTTTAACCAAGCTGCTAACATTATTTTGATGATGAAGTTTGACGCACGAGAAAACACTCCGTTTTTGTTCTAACCAACCTGGGAATTTAAACTGATTTGAACTTCTCCACCTGTTTCAGTGCCTGGATATGATCTGGACCCCCAGACAATCCTCTGAGTACCCCCACAAGGCCCCGCACCCCGACCCCCTGGACGTCTCCGGCAGAGGTCCACTTGCCGTCCATTCTCCAGACCGCCCGTCACCAGACGTCCCGACGCCCGTCCTCTGGGCGCCACGCACCCGTCATCCAGGCTGCCTGACGCCTGCCTAGTAACTACCCCGGACCGCTCCCGGGCTAAGAACGCAGGCCCGGTAACCCTCGAGAATTTACTTTGGGCCACAGGGACTTCTAACGTCTCTCGTCCGTGGAACGCTTCCGGGGTTTGCCTCGCTGCGCTCCCACGGTGCG